GATAAAGTATTAAGTTCTTTACGAATTAATTGAATGAGCTCTTTGACAAGCTCTCGCCGGAACGGTGGAAAACTCAAGGCAGCATTAGCGGCGGCACAATAGTTTCCCTTGCAAACAGTCTTCCTCATACTACTCTCGCTCTTATCCTCACAACTTCTCTCCAAAACTCTCGATGAAGCTGGATAGCCAACGAAGACCTACATGAATAAAAAAATACTCTACGTAAGGAAAACATCGAAAAGAATTAATATGAAAACAATAAATGACTTCGCACCTTAACCAGCGGCGGTTGTTTTGTTATTTCTGGCGGAGGTTGTGCTGGAAGATTCATAAGGCTTGAGATATGGTTATCGATCTCATCATAGATATTTTGCTGTGTACTTTCACCACCAAACAGTTGTTTTTTTTTTTTAGGAAGGAAAGACGGGACCATCTTGCAAGGGTTTCGATCGTTTTGCAGTAAGAGTAATCCCGGTTGGCGTTCTGATCGAAGTTATCCTCTTCGATCTCTGCGGAGTAGACCTCGTAATTTCGTGCTCCTGACTTCTACTTGAGCAAAGTGCTTCTTTAACGTCTGAATAGGTTTTATAACAGTTCACTATCTTTCGGGCACAACGTTTGCAAAGAGAACCAGTTTGTTGACTTGTTTGGATGACGCATATACCGACAGTCTGCAAAACTTCTCATAATACGAGTTCTTTTACGCCCAATATCTTACAAAATTCTCCATTTGAAGTTGAGGAAATAAAAGGAATCTTTGATGGATTTACTCCGTACTTAACCTTGAGATTTTCTGTGCAAAGATCGCAAATGATCAGTTTGCCGCTAGAAGTTGACGGCATTCACACGCACAACATTTTCGCGCAAGTTTGACAGGCACGTCAAATTCATAATAGACCGGAATGAATTCTGATTGGTTTAGATTTATAGTCACGCATCACGAATTCCTGGGGGGGTGGAACGGCCTCCGATATGGCTTTGTGTCAGGCTCTCCTTTCCCTTCTCCCCTCCCCTCCCCTCCCCCTCCTAAAACCCCCAGAGAGCCTGATCCTCAGGCTAAAACAGAACCTGCTATTTGAGGCAAAAAAATTTCAAGAGCAGCATAGCTATCGCTTCTGTTGGGCCAAAAACTCCTCTATTTATCTACGAAAGGATGAGAACTCCAGTGCAATAAAGATTTCGGACATTGGTAGCCTACAGCGTCTTTCGCCAACCACGTAATCATTATAATATGGATAAGTACCTTTTATTATTGTATGAATTTCATTTATGACTTTTAACCTTCAGGTTACTCACGGAATGAAGAGTGATGTTCACTCTTCGTTCCGTGAGCTTCCATACTTTGGGCAAAATATTATTTTGGCTCATGGCCAATTCAATAACTGTGCATCTTCTCATTTGCCGACTAAAAAGTGTTTGGAAAGGGCTACTAGCATTTATGATCTTGATCTTTTTGGCCTCAATGCGGCTGAAACCCTTAACCCTGGTGATTTCAATTCCTACTTCAGCCGTATTACGAGCCGTTACTACTCTCCACGTAGTTTTAACAAATTTAAAAACAAAGTACCCAGACGCGCTAGTGATTCATATTTCTCTATTCTACATGATAATGTCAGGAGCCTTAGGGTTAAATCTTGAAAATTTTCAGGTCTATTTATTAGACGAATTGAACTTTGATTTCAGCATTATAGGAGTTTCTGAAACCAGAATAATCTCCGGGAAAAACTTGAATTTTAATCCAAACATGCCTGGGTATGTTTTTTGATATGTTCCGACACCTCTTGCTTCTGGAGGTGTTGGCTTGTACATTAAGGAATCCCTGAAGTATACAGTTACT